ACACCCCCCGACACTACCGTAAGGCGAGTGGCTAGTCCTGATCACCCGAGCGGTGACATGTGGCCTCCTCTCTCTTTTATGCCTCCCCCACACAAACCCTGACACCACACATGTCGTCTCCAGCTTCTGGGCGCACTGGGGAAGGTGGAGTCAAGCTGGAACAATCAGCCCATATTGGGTCCCCGCCTCGCCCCGTCACACTCAGTCTCACCCCTTGGCACTGCACCAGCCACGTCACCTCCGTCCCGCCCTGTGCCAGACCCAGTCCCACATGGACACAGCCTCACCCACATCCCTGTGCTCATGCTGGAGGGATCAGGGCATTGGTCTTTCCTGGATTCAGTGGTGGGGGGCACTGGAAAAAGCCCTCCCAGGGCTTTGTACATGAGCCGGGCCTGGCCTCACCCCCCACCCCTCCACCTCCAACCCAAAAGGGCGGCTGGGGCCAGCCCCTACCACCCGGAGCTCTGGGGCTTCTCCAAGGCTGAAGAAAGAAGGGCTTGGTTCCTGGAGTTTGGCCCCAGACCGTGGAGGGTTCTTGGGTCCTGGAAAGTCCTGGGTGGGGAGGGGACATGTGGCATGGCTTCTGCTCTCCCCAAATCCTTTACTTGCTCTGAGCTAGGGGGCAACTCTGCCTCCCAGGACACAAGTCTCCAAAGTGCCTGTGAGGGTGGGCCCTCCGCCCAGGCCCTCTGCTTCCTCTGCCCTTGACCTACCAGGCCAACCTCACCCACCCACCCAGGGCCCTCCCTGGGGACCTGCTTGGAGTCCTACTAGTTGTGGCTACAGCCGGAAGCAGCCCAGGCAGGTGCCCCCGACTCCGAGGGCAGAGATTTGGGGGAGTAGAGCAGGTGACTGGGGTGGTGGTGCCGTCACAGGTCCCAAGCCACCTTTTTGGTTACCCTTGAAAGATGGGCCCTTTGATAGGAGTTTGAAGTGTACGGTCACCAGTCTTTGGGGAGGGAGCGCCTGGCGGGGGCTCTGGGAGCCCAGGGATGTGGTGTGAGTTGTAATTGGCTGGTGCTCCCACCCCCACCCCTCGCCCACAACCCAGACTCAAGTCAGACACCCACCTCAGTTTTATTTCTGTTCCCTTTTCAAGACTCCCTGGCAGCAGACTTTCGCAGGGTGAGGGCAGGCATGCCTGAGGCAGTGAGGGTGAGGGTCCCAGGGGCCACTGCAGCCTGTCTTTCCCAGGGTCCTGCTTTCAGGCTGAGCTCCATCTTGTAGACCCAAAGGCAGCCTAGACAGTGCCCAGACTTTGAGGAAGGGACAGGTGGGGAAGGAATCCTGGCCCACGAGGCCTGGCAAGCCTTGTTGTCCTGAAGGGCAGGGCAGGGCGCAGGGGCAAAGAGGACCATGAGTCCCAGCCTCGTTCCACCTGCTCCCTGGTGGGCTGCTGTCTTGGGGACAGCAGTTCTGGGGAGAGGCCTGGGTGGGCTGAGACTGAAGACTGAGTGTGAGGAGACAGGGCCTGGGCAGCCCAGGGGACGCTGGCACTGAGTGGAGACTCAGCAGTGGCCACAGCTTCTGCATCAGGCTGGCGCCCTGGTGGGGCGGCCCTGCCAGCCCTTCCTGAGGGCTGGCTCAGGGCGGCGGGCTGGGCCTCATGTCCTGGCCCCTGTTCTCTGTGTCCTCAGCACTTGAGAGGAGGGCGGGAGCGGGCAGCTCCAGGAGGACTCGGTGCCAGGCAGAGCTGGAGCTCTCAGTGCAATGTGGGCACAGGGTCCTGGCCCGGCCCAGGTATGGTGCGGTACACGTGGGGCCTGCCAAGTGGGTCCACAGAACCCCAGTGCTCCTGGGAGGGTATCTGGCATTTCCCGGAAGCACAGCACATTCCAAATGAGAGGGAGCTTGTGTGGTCATGAGCTCTTGTGAAGCAGGCTGGGGCCGGCCAGAGAATGGGGGGTGGGCCCCCCTCTGCTGTGACTTCAAGAGTCCAGGCTGTGTCTGTCCAGGGGTCCTAGATTGCTGGAGACACCAGGGCAGGGCAGCCCTGTGGCAAGGGCCTTGGGTGCTTGGCCAGACCCCCTGGGCTTGGCAAAGCCTGTCCATCAGGCCTCCAGGCTGGAGCCCTGGGCCCCAGGGAGTGGACCCAACTTGTCCTCCAGGGCAGGAGTGGCCTCCGTGGCTCTCCTGGCTCTTTTGACTACACAACCCTGGACTTGCTCCCCGGGACTCCTGCCTGTAAATAGAAGCCCCCAAACTGTACAGATTTCAGAGACGCTGAGACGGGGCTCTGGGAATCACCACTCTGGGCTGATGGTCCCAGCATCTCCCGGGTGCCCACCTGGCACCTCTGGGCACCTGGGCCCAGCGTGGCAATGCATGTAAATATTTTTCGTAGGCAGTGTGGCTCCAGAGAGCCACCTGAAGACAGTGTCCCCTCCCCTCTGGTGAGCCCTTTCTCCTGTACAGAGCCCTCCCGGATCCCGGCCTGCGGTGGGCGGGGGACTGTCCTTCCCTCCCCAGGCCTTCCCTGCCCTTTCCCTCCCCCGTAACCTGTGATTAACCCTACCCGTCCTGAGTCATGGCCAAAACTTTCGATAAGGAGAATCAGAAGAAAGACCGTGGACGAGGAGACCGAGGCACTGCCCGCGGCGGGCGCTCGCCTGTCCAGCCTTGGGAAGGAACTGGTTTGTTTTTGTTTTCTCGTTTGATTTTTCTTGGTTTATTTTTTAACATTTCCCGTGCTGTGCCCATTTATAAGAGGAAATAAAATTAAGCTGAAACGATGTCCTGTGGCCAGAGTGAGGTGAATTGAATCTGGAGGTGGCGGGGCCTCGGCCACCTTCCCCTTTAAGGGGAATGGAGAGCGGAGCAGGGCCGACCCACAGCCCCTGTGGGGACCATTATGGTAAAGCCGCCCGGGGTGGAGAGCCTCGGGAGACCGCGGAGGCGGTGTGGGGAGGCCAGGGCTGGCTGCGGTTGGAGGGGCAGCTGGGGTGGCAGGGCCTGTGGTCAGCCCAGGGGAAGAGCTTGGTTTCAGGCCACAGGGGGGCCCCGGGAACCACCCGTGGGGGGCGCTAAAGCCCTGGGAAGCGCACGAGTGGGTGGCTGGGGTGTGACGGCTCCTCTGCACCCGCCCCCACCCGGGGTGTGTCCTGCTGTGGCTCCAGGCTGCGGCTTGGCCTCTCTGAGCCTCAGTGTCCTGACCTGTGAGATGGGATAAGACCCCTGCAGTGGGGCGCGGTGGGGATCGGGTGAGGGTGCTCAGGACCTTAGATGACGCACGGTCGCCTTGCTCAGATGGAGATGGAGGCTCCTGGCCCGGACCATGCACTGACTTGGGGGCTCCCAGGGTGCAGAGCCGGGGTCTCCGGGCTGGCCCCACCCGCCCTGGTGTAGAAAGGCCCCTGGAGCCGCAGGGGCACCCCTGTCCCCATGTCGCGCAGCTCCTGATGCCAGGAGCTCGGAGCGTCCTGCAGGCTGTGCTGGCTCCACTTGTTTTGAAGTCCTCCCCCTTTCAGCTGGCACCCTGTCCCCCTCCCTCGCCACGGCTCACGCTTCTCTGGTGCACATGGGGGCTCTTCTGTCCCCGCCAAGGGACGCTTGGGCATGGGAGTCATGGTGTTACCTTCCTCCTCTGAGGAAACCGCCCCACGCTCCGCAGAGATTTCTGACCCTTAGGGTGGGCTGGAGCCTGCAACCCGTGGACGGGCTCCATCTGCTTCTCCCTCCTCCCCGTCCCAGCTCTTGAGTGTCCCCTCTGTACCTGGCCTGTGCTTGGAACTGGGAGAGGACAGGTGGCCAGGAAAAGCAGCACTAGCCTTGGGGTGGACGGGTCCTTCCCCGGCTGCCCCCCCAACCCCCCAGGAACACCTCCTCATTGCTTGGCAGCTCAGGGGCAGAGACCTGGGGCCCCGGGCCTTGCTGTTGGGCTCAGACAGTTTGTCACCTGGAGCCTTAACCTCCAGAGCTGTAGATGGGGCAAAGGAGCCAGGCCTGTCACCGGGAGGGTCTGACCCAGGGCAGGGCTGCAGTCGGAAGCCTGCTGTGATGGGAGAGGCTGGTTTGTCAACATTCAAAGCCAAGCACACGTGGCTGTTCACCCAGGAAGTTTCTGGAAGGTGATGCTTATCTCCCCCTGGGGGTCCCCATCCAGGGCTGTGCGCTGGCCCTGGTCTCAGCATGGAGGGGCAGAAGGTGTGGTCTGGGATCCCGCTTGCAGCTGGGTGTGCTCTGCCTCGTCCTTCAACCTCTCTGATCCAAAGCCAAGTGCCGGTGGCTGCTCATCCAGGCCATGATCATTGTCCTCGTGGCTGTCATTGTCATTATTCTCCAGGCCCAGCATGCAGCCTGTGGAATGAACAGATGACCCAGAACCTGGGCAGAAATCGTACCGCTACCGTCCCCCTGGCGTGAACTGCACCGGAGGCTTGGGCTTCTAGAGGCTGGATGGAGGCAGGAGGCTGCGTTTGGGCTGGCCGGAGGGGCGGGCGCTGCTGGGAGGTGCGGCACTTCCCTCTGGCCCCGTGGCCCACAGGATACACAACAAAATGGAGTGGGAGGAAGGAGAATAGCCGCTTGTCTCTGGCAGCCCAAGAGGTCACAGCTGCCAGCCCAGGCTACCCTGGGAACAGAGTGTGCTCAGCTTCGGGGGCCGCCCACCCTGTCACTGCCGGCCTGGGGGTGGGCCGGGGGCCGCGGAGGATTCAGACTGAGCATGCCAGAGCCGAGCCTCGTCCCCAGTGTGTGTGGGGGGGAGGGACGCTGGGCCTGCCGCAGGATGGGACGAGATGCCAGGCCAGGCCCTGGTACGTCTCCTCACAGGAGCTCACTAGGGCCCCAGGCAGCTTGGGCCTCCTGGCCTGCATCTGCAGACGGAGGAACCGAGACTCACACAGACCCTAACGCTCTTAGAGGATGCAGTAGGAGCCCCTCTTGGGCCTTTGCCCTGTCTCCTCTCTCTCCCATTAGCCAGCTGTGTGAGTGTGGGCAGGTTACTAAGCATCTCTGAACCCCAGTTAGAGCATCAGAACAACAGAAGCCAGAGAACATTACTGAAGACTCAGACACATATTAACACATGACACTTGTGGGGTGCCTTTGATTGTCTGTCCTCATTCACATCATTACCTCACTTAATGTTGGGGAGAAGGATCACCCCCATTTCACAGGTGGAAATGTTGACCTTATCCACAAAATCTACACCATGAGATGCTCTATCAGACAAATGACCCAACAAAATGGAGGGGGAGGAAGGAGAAGTTTCTTCATTAAGTAAATTATAAGGAAGAAGGAAGATGGGGAGGGGGGAGGGAGGGGGAGAGAGAGAGAGAGAGAGAACATTTTCTTGCTGGGAGCGGTAGTGCAGGCCTGTAATCCCATTGACTTGGGAGGCTCAAGCAGGAGAATCGCAAATTTGAGGACAGCAAAGACCCTCGGCAACTTAGCAAGACCCTGTGTCAAAATGAAAATGTGCTGGGAATCTAGCTCGTGGTTCAGGACCCCCGAGTTCAATCTCTAGTCACAAAACAGACATTTTCTTTTGAGATGGGATCTCACTCAGTTGCCCAGGCTGGCCTCAAACTTAGGATCTCCCTGCCCAAGCCTCCCAAGTGGCAGGGATCATAGCCGTGCGCCATTGTGCCTGGCCACAGGAGTGATGAGTAAGATTATAAGATGTGTTAACCAATCAATATGCAAATATGATGCGGATTTTTTTTTTTTGTACTGGGGATTAAACTCAGGAGCACTGGACCCCTGAGCCACATCCCCAGCCCTGTTTTGGGTTTTATTTAGAGACAGGGTCTCCCTGAGCTGCTTAGCACCTCGCTTTGGCTGAGGCTGGCTTTGAACTCACGATCCTCCTGCCTCCGCCTCCCGAGTCGCTGGGATGACAGGCGTGTGCCACCGTGCCTGGCTTCACTACTTGGAGTTCATATTTTAAATTCTCATAAATTGACTCTGGGGGCCATGGGGAGCCCCTGAGGCTGCCCCTCCAGGAAATGCAGAGCTGAGCCTTACAGCCCCAAGCCCAGGCCCCCTGTCCCTCTGCCTACCCCCAGCCCTACCCCGAGTTCCTGCTTCACGTCATCCACTTCCACGTGGTCAGCACCTTCCTGGGCCCTGTTCCCTCCCCTCCTAGGAAAGCTGACTCTCAGGATCGGCTCTGATGAAATCGCCCACATGACGCTGCTATGACCCCAGCTGTTCCCTCCTCCAGGGACACTCACGAGGTGGCCTTTCGGAAGTGCACATGTGTCCTGTGGTGAAGCGCCTTGCGGGAACCCTGGACCTTGCTTCCTGTTCACATCCGTCCTGGGTGGGAGGGGTGGTTGGCCACGATGCCTCCAACTTCGAAGGACACTGGATTCACTCACCCCTCTGCTGCCACGTCGTCAAGGCTCCGGCAGGTCCAGAGCTCTATCGTGTCTTGCTGGAAACACTGATTTGATTGTCACTGGCCATGGCAAGAAGGGCATGGCTGGACCTGGGTCCCCACTGGTGCAGCCAGGTCTTCCTGGGTCCTCTTGGGGAAGCCCCTTGAGCTGTGGCTTTCTCTTCTGTAAAATGGTCATCGTGATGGTCACTGCAGAGATCTGTGAGGATAGGGACCCACAGGGTGGGCAGAGTGATGTGTCTGCACTGTGACGGACTCAGAGCAGGTGTGCAGCCGTGACAGTGAGGGTTTCACAGTGGCAAAGCCAGGTGTATTGCATGCAGCCTGTGCCGAGCGGGTGTGACCACTTTTAATAGGTGTGAGGCGCTTAGAGCAGTGGCTGGCGCGGGGCAAGCTCTGCAGGAACACTGGGTCAGGTGACCGCAGCTGCTTGTTTAGTCCTTACAAAAACTGGAGAAGCCCCGTGCTGTGGTGCACGCCTGGAGGGGAGGTGGGGCTCGGGAGGTGGAGGCAGGAGGATCGCAGGTTCAGAGCCAGCCTCAGCAACTTAGTGAGGCCCTAAGCAACTCAGCGAGACCTTGTCTCAAAATATAAAAAAGGGCTGGAGAGGTGGCTCAGTGGTTAAGCATCTTTGGTTCAATCTCTAGTACCAAACAAAAAACAAACAAACAACAACAAAAACCCTGAGAGACTAGTAGGTACTCCTTAATCCCATGCTACAGATGAGGAAACGGAGGCACAGAGATTCCCAGAATGCTGAGAGTGTAGGTGACAACTGTATGGTCACCCTTGACTCCCACGCTCTCTCCTCCTGGTGAACTCCTATGGGCCCTTCAAAACCCTGCTCCAGCACCACCCTCTCTGGTCACTCCCAAGCCAAGCCAGCTGTTGCCCAGGACGGTCTCTGGCATGGGGAAGAGGAGAATTGGGGGAAGCGAGGGTCCGATGGAGGCTGGCCGGTGCGTGAGGACAGGTGGTGTCTGAGGGGCGGGGGTGGAGAGGCCCTGGGCCGGCTGTTGGGGAGGGAGTGAGGGGCAGTCTGTGGCCCTGCTTCCTCCCCAGGCACCTCTGTCTGTGGCTTGTCCTCCAAGGTCTGGCTCAGCCTCGGGCCTTCTCGAGGTCAGCTGCGCCGAGAGGAGTGAGGAGCAGGATGTGGGGGCCAATCTGCCCCCTTTTCTACTTCCAGCTGAGCGATCTCTGGCAAGTTCTTTTTTTTAAGCTTATTTTTATTTTTACATGTTTCTCTTCTTAGTTAGACGTGACGGCAGGACGCGCCTTGACAGGTTGCACACACGTGGAGGATAGGTGACCTCCCATTCTTGGGGTCGCACATGATGCGGAGCTACCTGGTCGTGTGGTCAGAGAGAACATGGACAGTCCAGTCCGATTCATCCCACTGTCTTTCCCTCCCGCCCCCTCCCTCCCCTTCATTCCCCTTTGTCTAATCAGCCAACTTCCACTCTCCTCCCCACCCCTCACCGTGGGTCAGGTCTACACATCAGAGAGGGCATTCGGCCTTGATCGGGGGGACTGGTGTCCTCGCGGGGCTTGGCGGTCTCCAGGTCCATTCACTTACCAGCAAACGCTCTGGCACATTCTCTGGCCTCTGTGCCTGTCTCCCCTGGGACCATGATGAGATGGCCGCGGTCCCCGTCCTATAGAGCGGCTGGAGGTTCCGTCAGGGCAGTGCACCGCACACAGGAAGTGCTCAGCGGACACCCTCTTGGATTCTCCCAGCCCCGGGAAGGGCCCTCTGGACGCTCTCTCCGTCCTCTGAATTCCTGTTGTGACCCTCACAGTTCAGCCCAGCGGTCATGGAAACTGCATGAGCTTTGATGGGGCCTTCACTGTTGCCCGGGCCCGCGCCTGCTCCTTTCCCTGTGGCGCTCTTTCCAGATGTGGCACGAGGTAGACGTGATTGACGAGCCCATTTAACAGTCAAGGAAACTGAGATGAAGTTTCCAGAACGTGTCTGAGTCACCCAGCCGCACACGGCAGAACAGGATTGAACCTCGGCCCTGCGCTGCGAGCCTAGAGGCTTCATCGGGTCTGTCGGTCACCATGGTGACAGAGGCCTACTGTGCGCCATGCACAAGGCGCACACAGCCCAGGCCCTCAGGGAACTCGCAGCGGATGGATGGACGTGGAGTCAAGGGTGCAGCTCCCTCCGTCACTGACCCTGACCTTCCGGAGGTTGTGCTGCCCTTAACCACATCCTGACAATTCTGGGCACACGGCCCGTGCCATCTCCGTTCTCAAAGATATGACGGACAGATGGGCTTCCAGGGCGAAGGTGACATAAGCACAGCTTTGACACCACTGTAGGCTTCTGAATGAGTCCGAAGCCGTCGAAGGCAAGGGTCACTGGGGCAGTGGTTGATCACCTACCATGGGGACACAGCCCCTGTGTCACCTGCTCCTGTTGCACATTCGGCTGACTTTGGGTTGGCATGGGGTGTGTGGGACTTCAGGATGTGACAAGGCCAAGGGAAATGGGCAGGGACAGAGCCTCCGGGAGGACAGGGCGGGGACCTCCTGGAAGGGGGGCTCCTGACGGGGTTCTGAAGGCCGCGTGGGGGTTCTCCATGGGGAGGCGCGGGCGAAGCTCCTGGATGGGGAGGCGAAGGTGTGGAAAGCAGCTGGGCGCTGGAGAGGGACGGAGTCGGGGCGTGTGTGCGCCCATGTGCCTGTGTGTGTGTGTGTGTGTCTGCCAAGTGCCACGGTCAGATGTGGCTTGTAGAAGTGGCTGTGGCAGTCTGTGGGAGGTAGGTGAAGGGTTGGTGACACGGCAGTCAGTTCCCCACGCAGACCCCAGGGCTTGGGAGCAGCGGTGACCAGGCCTTTCCCTTTGGGGCTTCCCACGATGCCCAGCAGGGGTGGGCATGCAGCTGGTGCTCAGCGAAGCCTGTTGTGTGAGATCACGAACGTGTCCCAGGACGCGCACACAGGTGGCTTTTAGTAGCCCCCAGGGCCCGCCCGGGCGCTGTCCGTGGTACCAACACACACTGGAGAGCTGCAGCCCGTGGCTCCCTGGTGGCAACTTCCACTGCCCAGTGGGTCTTTTAGCCCTGTGTGTGTGTGTGCGCGCACGTGCGTGTGTAGAGGGGCCCTCAGCTCTGTCCTAGGGTCTGGTGGGGTCGCAGCTGTGCCAGCCTCAGGGCTGACCAGGCCCGGGGTCTTCCGGAAGGTGGATCCTGCCTCACCTGGCCAGGCCTCGGGTTGCGGATTTGAGGCTGGAGACGAAGCCGGACAGAAGGAAGGGTCCAGAGTCAGGAGCAGTCGAATGCTCTGCTTGAGAGATTGCAGCTGCAGGAGGAGTGACAGACCACATCTGTGTTCCAGAAAGCTCACTCTCGGCCCCGGGGGACAGACTGGAGAGGAAAGGAGACGCTGGAGCTCTTCCCTGTCACCAAGGCTGCACAGCAGGACCTGGGAGACAGAGACGTCAGGGAGGGTGGGAACCGAGCAGCCTTGATGGAGAAGGCGGGGCTTGAGCTGGCCCTACTCAAGGGAGAGGGGACTGGCCAGCAGGGGGCAGGGCGTAGGCACAGGTGGACAGGTCCATGGCCAGCCGCTAAGGAGAGTGAAGGGACTCCCGCCTCCTCTCCCCCCTTCACCTCCTTCCTGTGGCCCTTCTGGGCAGGGGTGACTGCTGGTCTGGGACCAAACTCAGCGGCATTTCTGGGTGTCTCTGGCTGAGCTGGGGGGTGGCCTGGATGTGGCCTCAAAAGGTCCTTCCATTGTGTGTGGGGCCTGGCCAGGGCAGTGGAGGCGGCTCCTCGGGGCGCTTTGTCTGCGGAGTCCCCCTCCAGGTGCTCTGGTGGCTGCCTCCTGTCCTCGATGGCCTTGGACTCAGGCCATGTCACCGAGACAGGTGGTTCCACCTCGGCTGTCCGATGTCCTGGCCAAGGGCGGGGGTTGGGGATGGACAGCCGTGGCCTTGAGGCTGGCTGAGGGCTGGCCAGCGGCCTCTTGCCCTCGGGGCTCTGTGGGTCATCAGCCCAGTGGGTCTTTTAGCCCTGTGACCTGTGGGCTGAGGGCACCTCCCAGCCCCCAAGGACCTTCTCAAAATCATGGGGTCTTTGATAGCAGACCTGTGGGAATCACAGCCTCCTGTGGGGTGACAGCCTCCCAAGTCACTTACCATTCCCCTCCTAAGGCTGTGGCCAGGGTGGGATGGACCCTGTGGGGAGGATGGGGTGGCCCTGGAGCATCAGCCACAGCCTCCACTCTAAGGACACAGCCCAGAGGGATGATTGACTTGCCCCGTGTCTGGAGGGGACCCAGGTGGGCTGACCCTTCTGCTGCGGACTCCCTCAGGCCAAGGCTCATGGTTGGTGGTGAGAGTGAGAGGCTGGGGCCGGCCCTGTCTTTCTCCATCCATCCCTGTGGGCCCATGGGCAAGTTGCTGAATCTCTCTGGGCCTCAGTTTTTCCGTCTTTAAAAGAGGAGCACAGTTCTCCTCCCTGCGTCCACCCCTGCAGGGACAGGGCAAGGTCAGGCAGTCCTGGCTGTGCGATCCCGGGTCAGTGACATCACCTCTCTGAGCGCATTTCCTCATTGGTGCAATGGGGAGAACGAGGATGGGGACTCACCAGGAGGAAAGAGTCGGGCTAAAGCTGAGCGGAGGCTTCCCGTGTTCAAACCCCAGGTGGCTGCTCCACGGGCAGGTGATCCTGCGCCTTGGTCTCCTCTGCTGCAGAGTGGACATGACAGGAAGAACCACTTGGGCTGCTGGGGTTAACCCAAGCTGGGCACCGAGTGCTCGGCAGGTGGCACGTCCAGATGGTGGCTGGACCGAGGGCTCCTCTCTGCGAGCACATGTTCTCAGTGGTTGGGGCACAGCCTGCTGGCTGCACGGGGGTGAGTCCGTGAGCGCGTGCGGGAGTGTATGCAGTGGTGCCTATTCAAGGCAGAGCCCGTGGCCCAGAGTCGAGCGGTGTGCCTGGAATAGCTGAGGCTCCTGGCGGCCTCCCCAGGGAGGGGGGGGTGTGGTGAGCGTTTGCAGAGCCCCCGCCGCTGCTGCTGCCTGGAGCCAGGCCCGGGAGGGAGCGCAGCCCCATTATATTAACGAGCGTCAGGGTGACGATTACCACTAACGAGATCAGCCACCAGTGGCCGCCCCTCCTTCGCCAGCCAGCACACAGGCTCACAGGCCAGACGGGCACCAGCCTCGCCCCTCCTGCTCCGTCTTGGGAAGGGTCCTGGTGCTAGGCGCCAGGCCAAGGCTGTGGGGACTGTTGACTCTGAATCCCTGGCCCAGGTATTGGCAGCTCCACTTCACAGACGAGAACACTGAGGCCCAGCAGGGTCTCGGTGACGCCAGGGCCTGCGCCCCTTCCTACCCACGTGTTCCTGGGAACGTTCACCCAGGACCGAGCCCTGATGCTCCACGGCCCCTCAGTCCCTGCGGCAGCCCCAGGAGGAAGGCACTTCTCCCTCCTCCACGGCGGGGACTCCATGGTGTCAAGCCTCTGGCCACGCTCGGGATGTGGGTTTCCCACTCATCCATAGTGTCCAGCACCACCAGGTTCCAAGGACACATGATGAGAGAGATGGACCTGTCCCCGACCTCAGGGAGCTTCCAGCCCCACAGAGCAGTCCGTGCATGACAAGAAGGCAGAAGGGACCTGGGGCACCTCCCCCGAGGGCCAGTCCTGGGGGTTCATGGGGCGCTATTATGTGGGGCACAAATAAACTGGCGTCTTGTGTAAGCCACAGCTATTCTGGGTGTCGCCTTAGAAGCTAAACCTCTATCCTAGCTAATAGCCAGGCCAAAGGCTATTATCTCCAGGGCGCAGAGAGCCACGGGTTCCCGGAGGGAGGGACGGGGCAGGTCTGCACCTGCAGGACGGGCTGAGGGGTGGGCACTGTTGGCCGGGAGATGGGGGGGTGCTCAGGTTGCTGTGAGCGCAGGGAGCTCGGGCCCTCGCCCACCCTGGCTGCCCACAGCCCCTGCCCCTTCGTCCCTCTGCCTCCAGAGTTGCCTGTCCCAGGACGTCCCTTGTGATAGCTGTCCCTAGAGCCCAGGAAGCTACTTCTGGGGAGGTTCTCAGAGCAGGGATGAGGATCGGAAGGAGGGGGCGTGGGGGTGAGTGAGGGGAGAAGTGGGAGGGGAGATGGGGAGGGGGCAAGGGCAGAGGGGAGAGAGAGAATGCAGACAGGGACCGTGCCAGTCAGGTCTGCTCTGGGCAAGTGACACAAGTCCAGCCACACTGGAGGTGGTGCCCGCTCAGGTGCCCAGCCTCAGGGTCTCCATCGCTGTGGTCGGGACAGACATGAGTGAACGGGGCAGCTGCTGTTAGTCCATTTTACAGACATGGAAACTGAGGCTCCAGAGGGGCGATTGGTTCAAGGTCACAGGGCAACCAAGTGGCAGAGGTAGCATTTGAACCCAGGGACTGTCCACGTCTCAAGCCCCAGCGGGTCCCGGTGTTCGGCCGTTTCCTCGCCTTGAGCTGAGGAGTCTGAGCTCGGGGCCTGGGGGCCGGGGTCTGCGCACACGTCCACTCTTTATCCTGCGTCTTCATCCTCATCTGGAGGACGGGTGTGATGCCGGGGTTTCAGGCATGAAGCCACAAAACTAGTGCCTGAGACAGTTTCCTTTTCCTTTCCTCCCTGGCCTGGGTCTGGACTCTGAGCCTCTACTCAGAAACAAATATAAACCCTGTCATTTGGGGACCCTCCACTTGAGGACCATGTGTCTAAGTCGGGGGGCAGAGACTTTTGTGGTGGCAGGTGCTAGGGTTGGGGACCTGCCCTGGGGCAGCCTGGCCTCAGGGAGCTCAGCCCTTAGAGTGGCGGCTGATCTTGCTCAGCGCTAGCCCTCTCTGGCCCCTCCTGGGGACGCAGGACCCTCCTCGACCTGGGCGTGTCCCCTGAGCAGGTGAGGGCTTGGCTCTTCTCCTGACCTCAGTTCCCTTTCCCCTCCCTCCAGCCCCCTCCCTCTCTTCCTGTCTGTCTGTCTGTCTTGCTCTGTTCCCCAGGCTGGCCTTGAACTCCTGGCTCCAGGGATCCTCCTGCCTCAGCCTCCCAGTGGGCTGCGACTCCCGGGTGCAGCCGGGCGGCTCTCGGCCTCCGTGTGGACACACTGATCCAACCCAAGGCCCCAAATCGACTGGGTCGTTGTCGTTTCTGCAAAGCATCATTTTGCTTGTTACTGTGACTGTCCTCTGGAGACGGATGGCTCAGGGCAGGGGAGGGGACAGGGCTCTGCTCTCAGGACTCCTCTGTGTCCTTCTAACCAAGGAGGGCAGACGTGCCACCCCAGCTGGGAATGGTCCTAGTGCCGAGGCAGCAGGCGGGGGTCTCGGCAGGAGTGAGGGGACCCCACCCAGACCCGCTGGCTGCAGTTCCCCCTGCCCCCGGCACGGGCAGCTCTCCTTCTGGACGCTCCACTCACAGCGCCGCTGAGCAGGTGCTCTGTGGCCCTGGCCAGCCCTGCTTTGCCCTTCCCCAGGTGTCCCGTCACCCGCGGGTCCCGTCCAGACATCTTAATTTGGCTTCCAAGGCTGCCTGCAACCAGCCCTCCACCCGACCTCCCACCTTGTCCCCACCATTCTTTGCCCAGTGCCACCCTCAATGGCTCTGTGTGTCACTCCTTCCAGATGCCACTTTCTCTGGTGCCCTTTCTCCACCCAGACTGTCCTCTGCTCCAGTCACCTGCACCTCGTCTGCAGCCCCTCCCTGGAGATCCAGCTGGGCCGGGCCCCAGGTGACAGGTGCAACCAGGACCCTCAGGACCCGTCCCTGGGGCAACAGGTGCAGCCAGGACCCAGCAGGCTCAGCAGGCAGAGGAACAGGGACGAGGCCTGGCAGAGGCAGCTTCCCCTGGAAGCCACTTGGGAAGTGTCACAGCAGGCGGCCAGAGACGGGCAGGCTGGCGCAGGAGGCCACTGAGGTCTGGTGCCACTTCCTTCAAGCTGGTGGCCTCAGGCAAGTTAATCAACCTCCCTGAACCTCTGGGATGGGCGGCAGCGGCTGAGGGCAGTCACGTTGGCGTCTCTTGTCTGCACAGCCTTCGGGGGCCTGAAGGGCCTGTGGGAAGGTTCCAGACCCCGGGAGATGGGCCCTGGGCGGCTGCTCACGACAGCGCTGTTTGCTCCGTGGGGACAACAGGGAGCAGCAGTCTCTGTGTTTGCAGATTTTCTACAAGAATGACTTCATGTGAGTTACTGACGTCACCAGCAGCACCCCATCCCGAAGCCTGGGGGACCTCGCCACCCCTGGTGTGGACGGACTGCGTCCCCCCGAAGATACGGTCAAGTCCTGACCAAGAGAGAGTCAGAGAGAGGCAGGGACCCTATTCCTCTCAGAGTCCCCGGGGAAGGAGCCAACCCTGTCGAAACCTTCATTCCAGGCTCTCGACCCCCAGAACTGAGAGAGAATTCACCTCTGTTGTTTTAAGTCACAAA